CAGGACATACGTTTGGGATTACACCGCTCAGATTATATGCTTGACGAAGAAACAAAGTCACTTCTTCAGATAGAGATGAACACTATCTCGTCTTCGTTTTCAGGCCTTGGTCGTCTTGTTAGCGAGCTACATCAGTACGCACAATTATACACCATCTTCTGGATCATCTATTTGTTTTCTCTTTTTTTTTGCATTATACATAAAAATATTAGCTAAAAGGTCTCATTTGTGTTACCTTATCCCCTTGTTTGCAGGTCATTGCTTCGATCTTATGGGGATCATCTTGGGCTAGACCCTGAACGTGTACCCAGAAATGCATCCACATACCAATTTGCTGATGCAATGGCTAAAGCTTGGTTGGAGTACAATAACCCAAGGTTAGCCTTACCCAAAGCACGCATTTGTGACTGTGATTAAAAAAACTACTGGAATCAGGAATCAAGCAACGACCTAATTTTCAAAGGTTTTATGTTTAAAGATAGATTTTTTTGTTTGTTTGTTTCAGAGCGGTAGTCATGGTAGTTGTGCAGGCGAAAGAACGCAACATGTACGATCAACATTGGCAAAGCAGTGTATTGAGAGAAAAATATCCTCTTTTAATCTTGTTTCTCCGTTTTCCGTGGTCCATCTCAGCTTTTCTTATTCTATATGTTGTACAAAAACGAAGTTCTTCCTTAGCTTCAAAACACGCACAATATTGTAACTATCAGGAAGACTCTAGCAGAAGTCGAAAATGAAGGGCGTGTACATGAGGACGGAACTCTTATTGTGTAAGTTATTGTTTTGCATCACGGTTTTGAAGCATTTACACTTTTTTCTTGAAAGCTATGTAAATTTTTTGTTGTTGTTGCAGTGGTGGCCAAGCAGTCGCAGTGGTTTATTTCAGATCAGGCTATACTCCCACTGATTATCCGTCTGAATCAGTAACTGTCTATTTTCCAACATTGTGATTTGATTCTTTGAGAAAATTCTAAATCATATTTTCCCTAAATGGTTAACATGAAAGGAACTACTGGAATAAAGATGAATGGGAGATATGTGATTAGAATATGGAGAATATTTGAATAATTCTATCGCATTCCTCTTCATAATAGAAGAGGGATGTTTCCCGCTGAAATTTGTTTATTTATCCAGTGGAATGAGTGGAGTTTTATTCCATTCTATTCAACGTATATGGTTAGATTTTAGCAAAACGTAGATGAATGCTTCATTCAACCACAATTTACCCCTCTAACTAGACAACCGTTTGTCATTTGAAGGAATGGAATGCTAGATTGCTTATAGAGCAGTCCTCAGCGGTCAAATGCCCGTCTATAGCTTACCATTTAACTGGTACCAAGAAAATCCAGCAAGAACTCGCAAAACCAGGTGTTCTCGAGAGGTAAATGGATTGCCATTTGTCTTTCAGAGATGCTGAAACTGAAGAGCGGTTTCCAATTTCTCAAAGGTGATATTTTTTTTTTCACTTTGAAACATTGTAAACAGGTTTCTGGACAACAAAGAGGACATTGCTAAGCTGAGGAAAGGCTTTGCTGGTCTTTGGAGCTTGGACGATCCAGAAATTGTCAAGAAAGCAATCGAAAAACCCGAGTTGTTTGTTATGAAGCCTCAGAGAGAAGGGGGAGGTTAGAACCCAATCTAGTCCTCTTAAGTCTTCTACTTTCCTGTCATATTCTAAGCGTGTCTTCTTGTATTCTTTCAGGAAACAACATCTACGGGGATGATGTGAGGGAAAATCTCCTGAGATTGCAGAGAGAAGGAGAAGAAGAAAACGCTGCTTATATCCTAATGCAGAGGATATTCCCAAAGGTCTCAAACATGTTCTTGGTGCGAGAAGGTGTTTACCGTAAAGATCAAGCCATATCAGAACTCGGGGTCTATGGTGCTTACCTCAGGTATAGAGTAGGAATAAGAAGACGAAGTTGTTGTGCTTCATTCATTCTCTACTTAATATTTGATTAAATGAAATTTGTAGGAACAAAGAGAGAGTTATAGTAAACGAGCAGAGTGGTTACCTGATGCGCACGAAGGTCTCGTCATCAGATGAAGGTGGTGTTGCAGCTGGTTTTGCTGTCTTGGACAGCATTTATTTAAATTGAGATTGACCACATTCACAATCCTCCTGATTAATGTTTCTGCGTTGGTTTATTACTTTCTTTTTTCTTCTTCTTGCTTGTGAGAGACTTGTGTAAGATCATGAAAAGAATCAGATCAATCATGGAATATGGAGTATATGATTTCAGGAAACATAAATCTTAAGATTCCCATAGTTCCAATTTGACTTGAGTTTACTGCACTTTCGAATAAAAAACTTGCTCAACTGATGAGAAAAAAGTCACATCTCTTAATTTGTTTTCTTTTGTTTGATAAAATACTTGCTCAACTGATGAGAAAACTTGCTCCCCTCTATCAAACAAAATTTTACACGAGTTTTCAATAAGATTTTGTGATAATTGCATTGCATCAAAGACTTTTATCATATTGTGAAATAAACATCGACCAACTTCGTTGAACTGACTCAATTAATTTTGGGAAGAAGGTTTAACTTGGGAATGCTGTTGCTTTTCTCTCATAGTTGAATCTATTTGGTAAAATCAATAAACTATGAGGAAATTTGTGGTCAGAAAACGAATAGGGGAAAACAAAATCAATAAGTTACTTTCATTTTAGGGTCATTTTATTACCGCATGGTTTAAAATGCACATTCGAGAACGGTCAGGCCTATGTTTCAAAAACAAATTTAGCGGTCCTGGCATGATTGCCCACGAGTGTTTCACCCATCCGAACTGATCCAAAGACTTCCCAACCTCAATCAGTTTAGATGGTTGGTTCTGTCCGGACTAGATCATGCATCGGTGATACTCGCAAAGTAGCTTATATTATGTAATGGAAACCATTTGCAAACTCATATACGTCGGATCCGAGGTTTGAAATCAGTACATACTAAAAAATAAGTACTTTGCAAGATCATCAGAAATCACCTACTCTAATGTCCTACTGTCCAACGCTTCCCTCTATGGATTCCCGACTATAGTTATATGCAACGAAAAGTGAGAGGATTCCATCCGAACCCAAAAT